AAGCCGATGTTGAGATGTCCACTTAGACAGCATTCCATGTCTACAAAGGATCCGCTAGCTGTTCTTCTAGCGCGATGCTCAACCAAGGGCCAAACGCGAGCACAAACGGGACAGTAATTATCAGTGTGGCTTCACGGGCCTTTCCATGTAATAGAAAAAGAAAACGGTACCTGCGCATGTTCACACTTTGTTGGATGATCAGTGCTCCCTCGCACCAGTAGTTGGTGGCGCCCGGCCTGCGGGCGCACACAAGTCCTGCCTCGACCGGCAACCCTTCCAGTCGAGTGAAGATGCTGTCAACATTGCCGATTGGGCTTGGCTTTCGTTGTCCCTGCAGCCTACAGAATGTCTTCAGAATTCTACAGCATTCTACAGCATTCCAAAACAAATCGCGTGCCTGACGCTCGCTCGTATTCGCTCGTGGTGTCTTTCCACATTTCCACAGTATGTCCATTTGGCTCGTCTCATGCAGTGGTCAACAGTGGAACGGCCAGAAGCATGGAAAACCAAAGTTGCTCGCATCCCCTGATTCCCTAGCTTCCCTAACTGAGCATTTCATGGCCCCTGGCACTTCCGGACTCAAGGCCCCATCAGCCTATGCTTGGATATGCTTGGGCCATTCCTGAAAGGTCTGCAGTTGCAGATGTTGTCCTTTAAGGATTTGTGCTGATCAGTGAACTCTGCTGCGCCCCCCACCCGCCCCAATATTTACACCTGACCCCGCCGACGCTTGACCAGGCTGCGACAGCCTCATCCTTGCGGCAGAGCCTCAAGGAGGCCATGGCCGAGGTACCTCCTTGGGGGATGTTGGTACAATTGGTACATACATGTACATGCTGAGCTTGGGGGTTCTAGGACGTGCAGTATGTGCAGTGACATGCAGCTACTGTGACTTGCAAAGTCATCTTTTGGAGTTGGCGCACCTCTGCTAATGTTGTCTGCTGATTGTGCCCCCCCCCCCCTCAACAAATGGACCCCGCTCTTTAGTGGGGGGGGTCTGGCTTTATATGATTTTAAACGGGATGAGTTGATATGAATTTCAAAGGGGTCCATATGATCTTAAACGGGATGAGCTTATATGAATTTAAATGGGATCCATATGATGCGATGAGCTTATATGAGTATAAGCAGGATCCATATGACTTTAAAAGGGATGAGCTTACATTGAATATCCATATCATTTTAAAAGGGATGAGCTTGTATGATTTCAAAAGGGATCCATATGATTTTAGAAGGGGCGAGACTGCATGAAATTAAAAGGGAAGCATACGATTTTAAGAGGGATGAGTTTATATGAGTTTAAAAGGGATTCATATGATGTTAAAAAGGGATCCACATGATCTCAAAAGGGATAAGTTATTATGAATTTAAAGGGGATCCATCTATCCCAACCAAGCCAGCCCGCATTAAAAAAAAGAATTCCGGGGGACCAAACGTTTTACATTCTTCGGCATTCGGGCAGCTGTTGGACTACCCCCTTTGAAATTTGATTGCCTGGCCTCGGTACAAAAGCATTTTATGAGGAAATCTTAGCTTTGGGGCTGGCCTGGAGACTTAAGATTTCAGGGCCCGACAACCTCAGGCCTCAAGGTTTAGGAAGCCTCTGCAAAAAATATAATTGTAAACGCTTGCGCGCGCCGCCTCGGCAGCAGGGCCGGCCCCAGCACAGGAAAGGAGGAAAGAGGGTTTCTGCTGAAAAGGAGGTTGGGGGCTTGTAGCAAGGTTTACAGGGGTAGGTGTTTGAGGGGGGGGGGTGGGGGGGGGTGGGGGTGGGGGGGTGGGGGGGTTGGGGGGGGGGGGGGGGGGGGGGGGGGGGGGGGGGGGGGGGTCCAACGGAGGTCCGTCACAAAATTTTGGGAGAAGGAGGCGATCCGGTCTGCTGGTTCCAGACGCTTCTCGGCAGGAAGCTGAGGCGAATTCCAAGGGCCCGACAACCTCAGGCCTCAAGGCTTCAGGTTTTAAACCTTTGCTCAGGCTCAGATCTTTGAGGCTCAGTTCAGAAGCGATTTCTAGACAACAGCGCCATTCAACAGCCTCGCCGAAATTTTGCATTCCCCAAATTTTTATTACAATTCCGGAGAACCTCCTCAAATGGACTCTAAATAGACCTCCCCTGAATAGTTTCTGGATTTTTTTCACAATTCCGGGGGGGCACACTAATCAGGATACAACATTAGTCGAGAAGTCATGCGTTGGATCTTGTTGGACCAGTGGCAAGAACATGCGAGAACGGTCAAGCAGGCCGCGGAGGCCAAGTCCGTTTGCGGCCAGCAGGCGGCGCTTCCAGCTTCCACCGTGGCAACAGGGGTCTACAACAGGGCACCCAAGGGAAGAATGAATTAAATGAATTAAGATGTCTCACAAATCTCTGTGCAGTGGCATTCCTGCATCCGGTGCAGACGATTCATAGTTTCCGGCTTGCAATAGATAGCTGCAGCTAGAGAAGAGTGCTAGAAGCATGGTGCGTGGAGGCGGATGCCAGCGCTCAAGTTCTGCAGCTGGAGCACGCGGAGGTGGAAGCTATCGGTTCTGGTCCTGAAGCAATCTGAAGCATGAACTCTTACTGAACGCTAAAACTCTACAAGCTCCAAGCGCCACATCAAAACCTCGAAGACCCTTCCCAGGCCCAGGCGCTGACGGCGCTGTCTCGAGACTCCATGCAGTGGGGTGCTCGAGTTGGGGGTGGCTTCAGGATCTGGGATGATTGTAGGCTCCGCTCTGGCTCCGCTGGATTCGGGCAGATGCAGAAATTTTGCGATTGTTCATTTTCGGGGTTGGGGATGTTGGGGCCGGCTGCAGCGCTCAGCTTCTCCACTTAGGGCAAGATAGCTGGTGTCGCTGACACACCTGGAAGTACCCAAAGGTCCGGCACGGCATGGCACGGCTCTGTAGAACTAACATGCGCTCTGGGAAGAAGGGCCAGAGAAGCCGTGCTTGAGGCACGAGCTGTCGGAGATGCTCGTGGCCCGCAGGGAGCAGGCCGCGTGTGAACACGTCCGATAGGCCTCCGTACATAGCTCAATTTAGCTCACGCCCTCAATCGTTTTCCAACAGCGACCTCGAAGCCTTATAAGGTATTGTCTTTTGCCTCCTCGTCTCGAGGTTGCTGTTGCCTTGCGACTCTTTGTGTGCTTGTCGATGCAAAACCGAAGGAATCAGAGCGTTTAAACAAGGCTTCCGCAAATCCCAAAGGACCCCCTACCACCCGAAGCCTTTTCCTCTCGCACGGCGAGGCGGCGCGGCGCCTCGTTTCCTCGCTCCTGGCCGGTAGCTTCGAGGCAGCCACCCATGCCACCCGTCCATGTCCACCATGAACCCCAAGAGTTGGGCATTTAGAGGTGGGGCTTTGCATGTTTTGTGTGTAAATGTGCGTCCAAGATGTTGGCGATAAAGGCTCCCCGAGCTGAAATCCTTTGCTTCAATCATGTGTCGCGTCTGTCCTGCGATGTCCTGCGGATTCCTTTGGTGTACCTCTTGCGTTTTGTGTCGTTGCTCGTAGTGTTGCTCGTGTCACGTGCCGTCTCTCATGTCTAAATAAAGATTGTACAGATTGTCGGTCTCCTGCTGTGTTTCGTCGGCTGTGTTTCACGATGGTTTCGCGCCATTTCGAGAGCGCTTCCTTTTTGCAGCATGTGTTTGCACTGGACTCCAGTGACTGGTGTTTGCACTGGAGAGCCACTGAACAAGAGCCAACAGCAAAAATTCCCATAAGCTTCCACAGGGCTTCCTGCGCACAGCTCTCCGAGCCTGGCGGAAGGTGCAGGCAGTGGGGGGTCATTTATCGGAGATCCGTGTAGGATTTCGGGATATCTCGGCTTGATGTCGGATCTGTCGTGAATCGGCATCGGTCTTCTCACACAAGGTCGCTGTGGTCGCTGTGGCAGCTCTTGCCTTCCAGATTCCTAGAGAATCGTGATGCAAGGCGGAAGCAGCCCTCATGCGTGCAGAGCTGGATGGGACAAGGCAGGGAAAGACTATGGTGAAAGCTTGGCGCGCATCGTAGAATACCATAGAATGTTCATCGAATCAAAAAGCTGCACGGGTCTGGAGAGACCTTTCTCTAAGGCTTCTCGCAGGCCTGGAAACATCTGGAAATCAGAAAGGACTTATGTGGAGATATTGGATGCAAGCCTCCAAGAATCTCCAAGACCGGGCCTCCACTGAGGGCCAGCGAGGCCGCGTCCCTGTCGAAGCTTCGGGAGGAGCTCCAGGGTGCGAGGTGCGGTTCAGAGAGAAGGGAAGGGCTTCCTGGGCCTTCACTTACTTTCACTGTACTTGGTCGCAGCATGGCAAAATTTGAAGCATGACGAACTTCGTCATATGCAGGGTCCTTGACAAGGTGATGTCCGGTGCTCTTTGCTGGATTCGTCTGAAGTTCCATGAAATTCTTACCCGACCTGCCTACGCATCCTAAGCTGCTGTGGCCTGGAATGACGGGCTTTATGGTAGGTACTCCATCCCGCCCTGACAGGTCCCAGATTCTCTCCGAAGCAGAGGCCGCCCTCAAAGCCCAGGAGGCGCGCCGCATCTGCAGGCACTGCGCAGCCAAAGCACTCAACCGAAAACTTGAACATAGCACAATCTTTCGCAGACGCGCATCCCACGTCTTGCGCCTGCAAATCCTGAGCGGCGCCGCGTGTGATCGCTTCTGGCGCCGAGGCCTCCAAGAACGCCTCCGCTGCCTCGGCGGCGGCCACCGCAGAAGCAGTCGAAGCCCGGGCGGCCCGAGAGCAGGAGGCGGATCTTTGGAACATTTTGGCATCTTAAGGTCGAGGGTTTACAGGGCTCACGTACGGCCTCTCGGAAAAAGCCGACGCTTGACCAGGCTGCGACAGCCTCATCCTTGCGGCAGAGCCTCAAGGAGGCCATGGCCGAGGTACCTCCTTGGGGGGGATGTTGGTACAAAAGGTACATACATGTACATGCTGAGCTTGGGGGTTCTAGGACGTGCAGTATGTGCAGTGACATGCAGCTACTGGGACTCTGCTAATCGAGAAGTCATGCGTTGGATCTTGTTGGACCAGTGGCAAGAACATGCGAGAACGGTCAAGCAGGCCGCGGAGGCCAAGTCCGTTTGCAGCCAGCAGGCGGCGCTTCCAGCTTCCACCGTGGCAACAGGGGTCTACAACAGGGCACCCAAGGGAAGAATGAATTAAATGAATTAAGATGTCTCACAAATCTCTGTGCAGTGGCATTCCTGCATCCGGTGCAGACGATTCATAGTTTCCGGCTTGCAATAGATAGCTGCAGCTAGAGAAGAGTGCTAGAAGCATGGTGCGTGGAGGCGGATGCCAGCGCTCAAGTTCTGCAGCTGGAGCACGCGGAGGTGGAAGCTATCGGTTCTGGTCCTGAAGCAATCTGAAGCATGAACTCTTACTGAACGCTAAAACTCTACAAGCTCCAAGCGCCACATCAAAACCTCGAAGACCCTTCCCAGGCCCAGGCGCTGACGGCGCTGTCTCGAGACTCCATGCAGTGGGGTGCTCGAGTTGGGGGTGGCTTCAGGATCTGGGATGATTGTAGGCTCCGCTCTGGCTCCGCTGGATTCGGGCAGATGCAGAAATTTTGCGATTGTTCATTTTCGGGGTTGGGGATGTTGGGGCCGGCTGCAGCGCTCAGCTTCTCCACTTAGGGCAAGATAGCTGGTGTCGCTGACACACCTGGAAGTACCCAAAGGTCCGGCACGGCATGGCACGGCTCTGTAGAACTAACATGCGCTCTGGGAAGAAGGGCCAGAGAAGCCGTGCTTGAGGCACGAGCTGTCGGAGATGCTCGTGGCCCGCAGGGAGCAGGCCGCGTGTGAACACGTCCGATAGGCCTCCGTACATGGCTCAATATAGCTCACGCCCTCAATCGTTTTCCAACAGCGACCTCGAAGCCTTATAAGGTATTGTCTTTTGCCTCCTCGTCTCGAGGTTGCTGTTGCCTTGCGACTCTTTGTGTGCTTGTCGATGCAAAACCGAAGGAATCAGAGCGTTTAAACAAGGCTTCCGCAAATCCCAAAGGACCCCCTACCACCCGAAGCCTTTTCCTCTCGCACGGCGAGGCGGCGCGGCGCCTCGTTTCCTCGCTCCTGGCCGGTAGCTTCGAGGCAGCCACCCATGCCACCCGTCCATGTCCACCATGAACCCCAAGAGTTGGGCATTTAGAGGTGGGGCTTTGCATGTTTTGTGTGTACATGTGCGTCCAAGATGTTGGCGATAAAGGCTCCCCGAGCTGAAATCCTTTGCTTCAATCATGTGTCGTGTCTGTCCTGCGATGTCCTGCGGATTCCTTTGGTGTACCTCTTGCGTTTTGTGTCGTTGCTCGTAGTGTTGCTCGTGTCACGTGCCGTCTCTCATGTCTAAAGATTGTACAGATTGTCGGTCTCCTGCTGTGTTTCGTCGGCTGTGTTTCACGATGGTTTCGCGCCATTTCGAGAGCGCTTCCTTTGCAGCATGTGTTTGCACTGGACTCCAGTGACTGGTGTTTGCACTGGAGAGCCACTGAACAAGAGCCAACAGCAAAAATTCCCATAAGCTTCCACAGGGCTTCCTGCGCACAGCTCTCCGAGCCTGGCGGAAGGTGCAGGCAGTGGGGGGTCATTTATCGGAGATCCGTGTAGGATTTCGGGATATCTCGGCTTGATGTCGGATCTGTCGTGAATCGGCATCGGTCTTCTCACACAAGGTCGCTGTGGTCGCTGTGGCAGCTCTTGCCTTCCAGATTCCTAGAGAATCGTGATGCAAGGCGGAAGCAGCCCTCATGCGTGCAGAGCTGGATGGGACAAGGCAGGGAAAGAAGCATCAAGCAATATCGGGCGCTATCAAAGTTATCAGGCCGACTATGGTGAAAGCTTGGCGCGCATCGTAGAATACCATAGAATGTTCATACGGGCCTGGAGAGACCTTTCTCTAAGGCTTCTCGCAGGCCTGGAAACATCTGGAAATCAGAAAGGACTGATATGGAGATATTGGATGCAGCCTCCAAGAATCTCCAAGACCGGGCCTCCACTGAGGGCCAGCGAGGCCGCGTCCCTGTCGAAGCTTCGGGAGGAGCTCCAGGGTGCGAGGTGCGGTTCAGAGAGAAGGGAAGGGCTTCCTGGGCCTTCACTTACTTTCACTGTACTTGGTCGCAGCATGGCAAAATTTGAAGCATGACGAACTTCGTCATATGCGGGGTCCTTGACAAGGGGATGTCCGGTGCTCTTTGCTGGATTCGTCTGAAGTTCCATGAAATTCTTACCCGACCTGCCTACGCATCCTAAGCTGCTGTGGCCTGGAATGACGGGCTTTATGGTAGGTACTCCATCCCGCCCTGACAGGTCCCAGATTCTCTCCGAAGCAGAGGCCGCCCTCAAAGCCCAGGAGGCGCGCCGCATCTGCAGGCACTGCGCAGCCAAAGCACTCAACCGAAAACTTGAACATAGCACAATCTTTCGCAGACGCGCATCCCACGTCTTGCGCCTGCAAATCCTGAGCGGCGCCGCGTGTGATCGCTTCTGGCGCCGAGGCCTCCAAGAACGCCTCCGCTGCCTCGGCGGCGGCCACCGCAGAAGCAGTCGAAGCCCGGGCGGCCCGAGAGCAGGAGGCGGATCTTTGGAACATTTTGGCATCTTAAGGTCGAGGGTTTACAGGGCTCACGTACGGCCTCTCGGAAAAAGCCGACGCTTGACCAGGCTGCGACAGCCTCATCCTTGCGGCAGAGCCTCAAGGAGGCCATGGCCGAGGTACCTCCTTGGGGGGGATGTTGGTACAAAAGGTACATACATGTACATGCTGAGCTTGGGGGTTCTAGGACGTGCAGTATGTGCAGTGACATGCAGCTACTGGGACTCTGCTAATCGAGAAGTCATGCGTTGGATCTTGTTGGACCAGTGGCAAGAACATGCGAGAACGGTCAAGCAGGCCGCGGAGGCCAAGTCCGTTTGCGGCCAGCAGGCGGCGCTTCCAGCTTCCACCGTGGCAACAGGGGTCTACAACAGGGCACCCAAGGGAAGAATGAATTAAATGAATTAAGATGTCTCACAAATCTCTGTGCAGTGGCATTCCTGCATCCGGTGCAGACGATTCATAGTTTCCGGCTTGCAATAGATAGCTGCAGCTAGAGAAGAGTGCTAGAAGCATGGTGCGTGGAGGCGGATGCCAGCGCTCAAGTTCTGCAGCTGGAGCACGCGGAGGTGGAAGCTATCGGTTCTGGTCCTGAAGCAATCTGAAGCATGAACTCTTACTGAACGCTAAAACTCTACAAGCTCCAAGCGCCACATCAAAACCTCGAAGACCCTTCCCAGGCCCAGGCGCTGACGGCGCTGTCTCGAGACTCCATGCAGTGGGGTGCTCGAGTTGGGGGTGGCTTCAGGGTCTGGGATGATTGTAGGCTCCGCTCTGGCTCCGCTGGATTCGGGCAGATGCAGAAATTTTGCGATTGTTCATTTTCGGAGTTGGGGATGTTGGGGCCGGCTGCAGCGCTCAGCTTCTCCACTTAGGGCAAGATAGCTGGTGTCGCTGACACACCTGGAAGTACCCAAAGGTCCGGCACGGCATGGCACGGCTCTGTAGAACTAACATGCGCTCTGGGAAGAAGGGCCAGAGAAGCCGTGCTTGAGGCACGAGCTGTCGGAGATGCTCGTGGCCCGCAGGGAGCAGGCCGCGTGCGAACACGTCCGATAGGCCTCCGTACATGGCTCAATATAGCTCACGCCCTCAATCGTTTTCCAACAGCGACCTCGAAGCCTTATAAGGTATTGTCTTTTGCCTCCTCGTCTCGAGGTTGCTGTTGCCTTGCGACTCTTTGTGTGCTTGTCGATGCAAAACCGAAGGAATCAGAGCGTTTAAACAAGGCTTCCGCAAATCCCAAAGGACCCCCTACCACCCGAAGCCTTTTCCTCTCGCACGGCGAGGCGGCGCGGCGCCTCGTTTCCTCGCTCCTGGCCGGTAGCTTCGAGGTAGCCACCCATGCCACCCGTCCATGTCCACCATGAACCCCAAGAGTTGGGCATTTAGAGGTGGGGCTTTGCATGTTTTGTGTGTACATGTGCGTCCAAGATGTTGGCGATAAAGGCTCCCCGAGCTGAAATCCTTTGCTTCAATCATGTGTCGTGTCTGTCCTGCGATGTCCTGCGGATTCCTTTGGTGTACCTCTTGCGTTTTGTGTCGTTGCTCGTAGTGTTGCTGGTGTCACGTGCCGTCTCTCATGTCTAAAGATTGTACAGATTGTCGGTCTCCTGCTGTGTTTCGTCGGCTGTGTTTCACGATGGTTTCGCGCCAGCATGTGTTTGCACTGGACTCCAGTGACTGGTGTTTGCACTGGAGAGCCACTGAACAAGAGCCAACAGCAAAAATTCCCATAAGCTTCCACAGGGCTTCCTGCGCACAGCTCTCCGAGCCTGGCGGAAGGTGCAGGCAGTGGGGGGTCATTTATCGGAGATCCGTGTAGGATTTCGGGATATCTCGGCTTGATGTCGGATCTGTCGTGAATCGGCATCGGTCTTCTCACACAAGGTCGCTGTGGTCGCTGTGGCAGCTCTTGCCTTCCAGATTCCTAGAGAATCGTGATGCAAGGCGGAAGCAGCCCTCATGCGTGCAGAGCTGGATGGGACAAGGCAGGGAAAGAAGCATCAAGCAATATCGGGCGCTATCAAAGTTATCAGGCCGACTATGGTGAAAGCTTGGCGCGCATCGTAGAATACCATAGAATGTTCATCGAATCAAAAAGCTGCACGGGCCTGGAGAGACCTTTCTCTAAGGCTTCTCGCAGGCCTGGAAACATCTGGAAATCAGAAAGGACTTATGTGGAGATATTGGATGCAAGCCTCCAAGAATCTCCAAGACCGGGCCTCCACTGAGGGCCAGCGAGGCCGCGTCCCTGTCGAAGCTTCGGGAGGAGCTCCAGGGTGCGAGGTGCGGTTCAGAGAGAAGGGAAGGGCTTCCTGGGCCTTCACTTACTTTCACTGTACTTGGTCGCAGCATGGCAAAATTTGAAGCATGACGAACTTCGTCATATGCGGGGTCCTTGACAAGGGGATGTCCGGTGCTCTTTGCTGGATTCGTCTGAAGTTCCATGAAATTCTTACCCGACCTGCCTACGCATCCTAAGCTGCTGTGGCCTGGAATGACGGGCTTTATGGTAGGTACTCCATCCCGCCCTGACAGGTCCCAGATTCTCTCCGAAGCAGAGGCCGCCCTCAACGCCCAGGAGGCGCGCCGCATCTGCAGGCACTGCGCAGCCAAAGCACTCAACCGAAAACTTGAACATAGCACAATCTTTCGCAGACGCGCATCCCACGTCTTGCGCCTGCAAATCCTGAGCGGCGCCGCGTGTGATCGCTTCTGGCGCCGAGGCCTCCAAGAACGCCTCCGCTGCCTCGGCGGCGGCCACCGCAGAAGCAGTCGAAGCCCGGGCGGCCCGAGAGCAGGAGGCGGATCTTTGGAACATTTTGGCATCTTAAGGTCGAGGGTTTACAGGGCTCACGTACGGCCTCTCGGAAAAAGCCGACGCTTGACCAGGCTGCGACAGCCTCATCCTTGCGGCAGAGCCTCAAGGAGGCCATGGCCGAGGTACCTCCTTGGGGGGGATGTTGGTACAAAAGGTACATACATGTACATGCTGAGCTTGGGGGTTCTAGGACGTGCAGTATGTGCAGTGACATGCAGCTACTGGGACTCTGCTAATCGAGAAGTCATGCGTTGGATCTTGTTGGACCAGTGGCAAGAACATGCGAGAACGGTCAAGCAGGCCGCGGAGGCCAAGTCCGTTTGCGGCCAGCAGGCGGCGCTTCCAGCTTCCACCGTGGCAACAGGGGTCTACAACAGGGCACCCAAGGGAAGAATGAATTAAATGAATTAAGATGTCTCACAAATCTCTGTGCAGTGGCATTCCTGCATCCGGTGCAGACGATTCATAGTTTCCGGCTTGCAATAGATAGCTGCAGCTAGAGAAGAGTGCTAGAAGCATGGTGCGTGGAGGCGGATGCCAGCGCTCAAGTTCTGCAGCTGGAGCACGCGGAGGTGGAAGCTATCGGTTCTGGTCCTGAAGCAATCTGAAGCATGAACTCTTACTGAACGCTAAAACTCTACAAGCTCCAAGCGCCACATCAAAACCTCGAAGACCCTTCCCAGGCCCAGGCGCTGACGGCGCTGTCTCGAGACTCCATGCAGTGGGGTGCTCGAGTTGGGGGTGGCTTCAGGATCTGGGATGATTGTAGGCTCCGCTCTGGCTCCGCTGGATTCGGGCAGATGCAGAAATTTTGCGATTGTTCATTTTCGGGGTTGGGGATGTTGGGGCCGGCTGCAGCGCTCAGCTTCTCCACTTAGGGCAAGATAGCTGGTGTCGCTGACACACCTGGAAGTACCCAAAGGTCCGGCACGGCATGGCACGGCTCTGTAGAACTAACATGCGCTCTGGGAAGAAGGGCCAGAGAAGCCGTGCTTGAGGCACGAGCTGTCGGAGATGCTCGTGGCCCGCAGGGAGCAGGCCGCGTGTGAACACGTCCGATAGGCCTCCGTACATAGCTCAATATAGCTCACGCCCTCAATCGTTTTCCAACAGCGACCTCGAAGCCTTATGAGGTATTGTCTTTTGCCTCCTCGTCTCGAGGTTGCTGTTGCCTTGCGACTCTTTGTGTGCTTGTCGATGCAAAACCGAAGGAATCAGAGCGTTTAAACAAGGCTTCAGCAAATCCCAAAGGACCCCCTACCACCCGAAGCCTTTTCCTCTCGCACGGCGAGGCGGCGCGGCGCCTCGTTTCCTCGCTCCTGGCCGGTAGCTTCGAGGCAGCCACCCATGCCACCCG